ACAAATGATTTGTTGGGGGATGTATACCCTCTGGTAATCAAACATCGCTTGCTGGAAAATCCACCATTTCGTTCGATGATGTTCCAAGCTATAAACCTCCATTTCGTGCGGGGATTTTGCAGCCAGCCGTGTTTCATGACGGAGGGTCCCCCCAAAACCAGCCCTTGGATGTGCCACTGATTTCATGTCCTATCCCATCAGAAGCCCTTCATTCCTTTGTCCCAGGTGGCCCCACGCCCACCACGAAGTCTACACTGGGATCCAGTCGACCCAGATGAAGCCTCGTTCTGTCGCTGAATCCACCGCTAAACCAAGGTTTCTGCAGAGTGTTGGAATATGTTGGAATATTGTTGGGAAGGAAATTCTTGACGTCAACCAGATGTCTGAGATGATCATGTTTTTGTATGTTTTTGTTGGCAGGTTTTTTTTTTCAGAGATGCAACTGAAACCACCAGATGATCTATGCCTACAGATATCTTACAGCCTGGAGGACCGTGGGGCCCCTGACGCGAAGGACCTCAACTCGTAGCCGATGCCCATCTTGCTCACTTCTGGGTGGGTGGCGATGGCAATCAGCTGTAGAATACGGCCCTCCTGAGCCGTTGCGGCAGCTGATGTCTCAAAAAGAAATCTATGGCAAAGGTTCCTAAAGATTGGGGAAAATTGATGGTGATTCTTGGGGATATGTTTTGTTTTTTTTTGGATTTCGATCAAAATAGAGTTTTGGGTCGGTTTGCGAGTGGCCATCTAGCATCGCCTGCCCATCAACCAGGTGGCAACGGGACATCAGTGTCTCAGTGTCTCCCAAACTCATAGCCTTTGAATGATGTCCTGCAAACGGTCATGGGGAATCAATCAACATCTCCCAAGAAGCGAGGCGGTATAGCCTAGGTTGACCCCATAGCCTTCCTATGAAGCATCATTCTACAGTGTTCTACAGGGCTGAAGATAATGCAAATGCTGCAAACCAATGACCCCCAAAAACTCTGAGCTTTCGCACTGGCTGATGCATCTTGGAGATTTCCATAAACCTCGATGGGGAAACGGGCTGGAGGCTCCACAGGTTCCACCATTGTTCCACCTATCCGACCTATCCCAATCGTGAAAGTCTAGGTCTAGGTCCTGGAAACCGCATGACCCCCATTTCGGTGAACAACCCCATCTCATGGGGCAAAGTCTCGAAAACAGAGGTCAGTTGGGTTCCATACCATCTTTCCAAGTAGGAACGGGACACAAAAGGCACACAAGTGCTTGAAACCATTGTTGTATTTCAACACACCGTGCCAAGACATGGGCACTTCAAGATCATTCCAGGTTCAATTTCTGGGGTCCCTGGACCCACAGCCCCAGGAGTTCCATGACTGGTACCAAGGACTCCCGGCAAAGCGTTGGACGATCATCCGAGTTGGCAGTGATCGTTCCTAAACACAGCTACCCTGCAACCATCTTTACTCCTCAGCAAGTGGGATTGCCATCTGATCCAGGCATGTGTAGTATCATATTTCACCCAGAAGCACCCAGTCAGATACCCCAAGTGTACCAAGGCACGTCTCATTCTCTACATCGCTCAGGGCAGCGATGCGCTGCATGTACAGCACTGCAACAACCTGAGATTCTGCCGGGGGGAGGGACGACCGGGAGCTGGCAGTGAAGCAAAGTAGTGAGTTTGGTGGATTTTTGACAGGATTTATCCAAGAAACGATGGGATGAATCCCTGAGGCAATGGTAGTTAGCTGTAGGGAGGGTGCGGTGGGGGAACGTCAGACAGCGGTGCACAAGGCAGCACTGCTGGGTTGCCAGCTTTGCCATCCATCACGCAAACCTCAGTCTTCCGCATCAGGGCTCTCTAAGGGAGATGCCGGCTACCCAAAAATGGCAACTTGAGGTGTGACATGGGATGTAGTGCAAATACCAATCATGTTCGGAAAATGTATCCTGTTTGCGCTTGAGTGATCCAAATCCTCCAAAATCCATCGCCTGGGGCTGAAAAATCCTAAATGTTATACATCTACTGCCCAACAAACCACGCAATTTCAGAAGTTCACGTAATTCCCATCTGAGTGAATTAAAGTAATTCTTCTACCAGAAGGGGCCCCCAAGTATTAAGTTGCTTTCTAATCCCATCTAACTTTAGATCTATCCAATATAAACATGTACAAACCCCAAAACAGTTCTACCAACCGAGCTGTCTTCTCTGGGGCCCCCTAAACCATCCCCAAATCCCGACCCTTTCCCAGGTCTCCCAGGTCTCCCAGGTCTCCGTGCCAAGTTGGTGGTGGGTGAGGTCTCTAAGCGCGTTTTCAACACTTCAGAAGTGGCCTTATGGGATGGACGTTGGAGTCTCTATATATATATATATGTGTGTGTATATTATAACTATATATATATATGATTATATGTATGTGTATATATATATATATATGTACCCATAAATTTGCAAGTTAATGGGAGACAATGCCGTTGTGCTTGCAGGGATCGTACATCCGCCCAAATTGCGCTGTTGTCCTGTGATATGCGGTATATGATGGGAGTACTTTACCAATCAACCATTTGTGGGAAATCATGGGGATTTTGCTGGGATGTTACAACCAACAATATGATATGTGGGTTTGTTCGAAAAATGGGGCCCATGAGAAAGCAATTTTAATGGATGGAATAATGACAAACCAACAGGTTTCGGAGGATCATCCAATAATGTCGTGCACAAATGCTTGCATCTGAAATTGGCGTATACCCCCCTCCATGGCCATTAAGTGGTGAAAATGATGACTAACCATCAAATTATCAAATTTGGGGTTACCCTATTGCCCTATTGCCCTATTGCCATTGCATCTCTGGTGATTGGTGGAATTATTATATGATTCGTAGATTAATATGATCAGTATGATGTATCGTATTACATCTGATCATATACTGATTCATGTATGATTTGCTATTCGTGATTGGGGCATCATCTAGCTATTGGCTGTTACGGGGAGAGGGGCGAAACAGTGATTGATTTGGCCCTTCACCAGGTGGGATTCCCCAATGGTTCAACGGCGCTCTGTACCACAGTTACCTGGCTTGTTTGATGTACCCGGTGTTCACAAAGCATCACAAAGCTCTTTATGAAGCCTCCAAAAAGTGGTCGAAGAGGCTACCGTGGTATAGATCAAATTGAGAAAATGGTGAGCTGTTCACCAAGAGACCAGGCTAGCTGCACTGCAAATTGGTTGATCCGCGATTGTCATTTGGGGATATCAAACCATCGCATTTCCGGGGTCCGTAATTTTCTGGCGGTTCCAAGGGAGAAAAGGCCGAAACATAGAGACACCATGAGGACATACAATATCATACAATCACCCACGAACACCATGGTACCATGTGCAATTGATTATGATGTCCTCCAATGGTCCTCCAAGGGTAAAATGGTTTGGACCAACCAGACTGGGGTAACTAAATTTTAACAACCACGCCCTTGGTAGGTGACACATCGGACTTGATCTGGATGAAATGGGTCAGGTTTTAGGTGAAAGGCCCTTGACAATGATGTCTTAGCACGAAGTACCTAGTTTAGGGGTGCCATCGGTTGTTCATTGTGGGGTACTTCTGTATCAATCAACCCATTCTGTGCTTTGAATCGGAACTACTTCGTGCCATGCCAAGAAATCCAAGGCACTCGCAAATTTTCGGCCCAGGCCAATTGCTCAAGGGCTAGCAGGCCTACAGAGATTAGTGGAGCAAGGCCCAGTTCAACTCTAGTGAAAAATGAGGTTCATTGAGGTTGTACTCGAGGGTTTGGCAATCCAAAAAAAAATGGAAAATGATGGTATCAAAAAAAACTGGTGGTATCATCGCTAAATCTCTTTCTATTCTGGTGGGGTGAACTAGCCCAACGAATATGGCAGTTAATTGGGATCACCCCAGGATGGAAACCAACTAAATCATGACTGACCAGCTTGGCGGATTCTCCTACTTTGTCAGTGATTGATTTGAACTGTGGGGCAATCAACCCCTGGCTAGTGTAGTTGGGGAAGCAATTGTATAGCAGAATGTCACTTTTTGGGTACCACTCCCTAAGTGATCAGCCAATATGTGTGTATATAATTATATATATATTTATTTATCCAGGTTGACATGTCTGATCATAGGTAAGTAGTACCGTATCTTCAGGGTGCCATGCTTCACACCAAGCAAATTGCAAGGTCTGAAAAACATCCCTTTGACGACGCTTGCACACAGGTGAATCTATTCAAAATGGTTGAGTTGTGAGAAAAAAAACGGTTTTGGCTGAAAACATGGTTTCAAACCTTGCAAATGGTCAATGTCTGTGTTCCTATCGGAAATCCAACCCCGCCACCCAAATTCTGCCCAAAGAATGTGGCCGAAGAGCTCTCCAAGTCCGACAACTCCGCAAAACGCACCGAGTACTTGCGCCTGCTAAAATGGATCAAAAAAAACGGCCAAAAGATCCGGTAGAAATGGACCCACCAATTTTGTCATTCTGAGTCTTAAGATGTCTTAAGTCTTAAACTTAAACCATCCATTAAGGAATTTAGAAGTTTCACCATTTTAGATTTTAGCTATATCAGTTCTTGGTTGGCTCTTCAAGGGTTTCGGGGGATCCCGGCTGAATCTTCAATCCAATCAAGTCCTCGCCTCACCAAATGTTGGTTGATCACACGGCAGTACTTGCCCTGTTCGGGATACGTCTGAACCGCCCTTAGCGATTTGCTAGCTCTGATCAAATGGAGTGACAAACCAAGTGGGTCTGTCTGAAATTTTATGCGTAAATAATCCAAATTTGCTGGGGTTCCTTATTAAAATCGCCACTTTGTGGCCAAGAAAAACATTTCCATGCACATCCATATGCCCTGCGAGATTTTGGAGGCGTCCAAACTACACAAAGCAACTCAAAACACTGATTCAGGATTGCCTCAAACTTTAGAACCGCAAAATCCAGTGGATTATCATCGTTTGTTCAATTTGTTCCAATCGTTTTTTGTTTACGCCAGCGTCTGGTGGTGCCCCCCTCCCCCCGAGACGTTGATGGTCCCTATATGTATATGGATATATATATATATACAAAATTATACAATTATAAATGGATGTATCTATATGTATATGTAAGTTATATCCAAATATATGTAAGTAGTATACATACATATATATATATATATACGTATGCAGTATGTATATGTCTATGTATCCCCCCCGTGGAAGTGGTGGGGGTTGGGGGGAGGCCGCGAACACGAGACACGGAATCATATACGGTCGTATAATATATGATAGCTATCTTTATGTATATGTTTATATACGGCATGTGTATACATAGGTGTCTATAAATACATATACATAATTATACATACCTATATACATGTATACATAAATATATATTCCCATGCAATGGTTGGTCTTGCTTTCCCATTGTAGATTTTCACTGTATTCCCATTACGGTTTGTGTTTGCAAATCCGTTCCCGGATCATATTGAAGAACCCCAGAACGAAACTAAACCTTGGTGGTGGAATGTACGTATATATGCGTATGTTTCAACTCGCTTTGGTTGGTTTTACTGCATATGCCCATTTAGATCCCCATTATATGCCACGTCCCTTTCTACACGTTTTACTCTGATCTCAAGTTGCTATCCCCATGGTGAAACCATCTGAATCTCCCAATTTTCTGATGCTTCACCCCATCAAGTGCCCAGTCACTTCACGTTGGCCGGCATCAGCCCTGCCATGGCTGCACCTGGCTGTTCGAAAGGATGTTCCGTTGAGTGGAAGAAATCGAAGAAACCGTGGGAAACACATCTGATTCAAACACTAAAACACTTCAAATAGCTGTGTGGCTACAATCCAGTTAGATGCCTTTGTAGCTGGATGTTGTGGATGTTATATTCCCACAGCTTGGCAACATTTATGCGATAAGAGTGAAGTATGAAACTAAATGAAACTAAATGAAACTATCCAAACAAGTTGTTTAGCCCGTTTACTATCGACGAAACAACAGCTAGCTTGCATGCTTGTGAACCACTTTCCCCTGACGAGTTGCCCGATGACTTGGGAAGGTTGGTCCACCGCTGAAAAATGCAAACAAATCGCAAGGAACCGTGCAAGACATTAGCGTATCTCATGATTTCATGAATGGAACCTATGGAACCATGTTGTTTTTTCCCACTGCTAGTTTGGCACAGGCATTTTCGGAACTTGAAAATCACACAATGTGCAAATTGGTTGGCGAGTTTGTTGCTGGACGCAGGAGACCGTTCATCAATGCCGCTGGCAGAACTGCTCGAACTTCAGATTTCAGTTGGGGCACTTCGGAACCAAATTTGAAATCAAAGAAAATCTGCATCAGTCAGTGCCCCTGGATGCATCGTTCTTGTTGGCGCCAACCCTCCATCAAATAACAGACAACATCAAGATGGTCATAGCGAGCTGTAACTATTAATGATGTTGTATCTTCAATCACGGCTCGATCTTTTTGTCAGTGCCAGCTTCCAAAAAATAGCGCGCAACCTCAAGATTGCCACAGCGAGCTGCAAGAAACAATCCTGTGGCACCATGATTGCGTGGAGCAGCTGCCTCAAGCAATGGGGGTCATGCCTTCAGGCTATGCAGAAGCGCATTCTTATGAGCACCCGCTTCAAGCAAGAGCCGCACGCTTTCAACATGTCCCCTCCGCCGGGCATGGTGCAACGGTGTCATGTTGGTCTGTGACATTAGGACTCAAAGGACTCTTAAGCTCTCCAGTGACTCCAGTGCAATCAAATCATCGATGCAGAGATCATACGCTCTGCTCCTCACCAGGTGGGCAAAATTCTGTCACCATCTGAAGTTTCACTGGGGACGCAAAGTCCTCAGAAATCTGTGAACCATCTTCTGAAAAGAGTCTTTGTCTGAATCTCGTCACGCCGATCTGAGTTGCCAGGAATTGCGTCATAAACTTTACAGCCTTTGCAGACTTTCCTTGAATTCATCAAGGGCAAGGGCCACCAGTGCAGCACCCGAGACAAGGAAATGCATCTCAATTGCTACGCTTCATCAAATCAAACCAACCTATATTTAGATTCCTTGAGAGGCATTCACATAATCTTGGATGTGTGTAGTTGTGTTATTACTAGTATTATCATGTATTATCATTATTGTCTAGGCATGTAAGACAGGTCTTGACAACTATACGTTTTTATCAGATGCGACTTGTACTGGCTGGATCCTGCTGGAATAGACCGAGGGAATTTGCAGGGAATATTCACCAACTCAAACCATGGGGAGCCATCGATTCCAAACAGAACGCTTCATGTCTTGCAAGAGTTCCAACTCAAATCCAACTTGGTTCTTTCCCACGTGAAATTGGGTTCCAACGTCCATCTGGCGTGTGAAAAAATCACGTGTATACTCAAGAAAAAAAGATAGACAAGTAGAAATCAAGTAGATCCCTACTAATTTGATGATGGTCTACTTGTCTATCTTTTTGAGGTTGCATAGGTTGCTTCACTTGGATCGGTCCGAGGCACCCATGGCAAAGGCCACAGGAGACGTCATGTACTGTCGTGACAGGCCTCGGTTGGCAGCCATGGAATCCCACAGGAAGATATCTGATACTTTTTGTCATCGGATATCGGACATCATGAGAATATGATCATCCGTTGTGTATGTATATATATATATACTGAAATCTGATGTTGTGACCGGCATGTCTAATTGGGAATTTCAAAGGAAACTATCAATTCATTGGTTCTCACGGCTGGCAATGGAGAGAGTTGTTGATAGGGAAATCAACAGGAAATCGGAAGGAATTGGTGGATTTTCCATGTTCACGTCACTTATTGAAGAAAAACTATTGGGAAGCGCTGGGCTCTTATATAGTTTCTACGTAATCAATCAACATGTGATAGCATGGGTTCGGGGATACCCTCCAGGGCATCACGACCTTTACCAGACATGACTACCACCCGTGAGCCAAGATGTACTCACCCATTGGTTCAGGGGACATACTAATAGGATATCAGGATATTTTACAATGGAAAATACCCTATTTGAGCGTGGCTCAAAAATATCCTATCCCTCTTTGTCCCTTGAAACCTTTGAGCCGCTCCTTTGGCAGCCGGTCATTGGACAATGTCGAAGTGAAAAGACACGCAATCGTTGATGAATCGTTCGGTCGTTGGGACATCCAGTAGCATCACCTGGCAGAGGCGGGTGATTTTACATGGTCTCCTTATCTCATGACATCGTTGGGAGGAGCTGTCATGAACTGTGCCACCTAAGTGGGTTGTGAAAAAAAAGTTTTGTAAATCTTGGGAAACTGGGTACAGGCTCCACAATTGAGCTTTCCCAGCCTTTCTCCAACCCTATCAATTGACAAGAAGACCAAGTCTGGATACCTGATGCAGGTCCTAAACCTCTCTGGGATGGGTTCTGTACAATGGTTTCTGGATTAAAAATGCCAACCAAACTCATCTCTTCAAACAAGGTACAGTAGAACCAAATTACTGTCAACCAGGCTCACAAAGCTTTAAAGTTGCCAAATAGGCGATGAATTATGGTTTGCCTTTGCCAAATATTTGACCCTCAAAAGTAAAACCAGCTTGGCCATCCAAAGTGGTCATATCAAACCCTTGCAGCCTGGGTTTTCACATCAAACAGCTGGTTGATTCCCACCAAAAAAACATGTGTGCGTGTCTTAAATGTGGTACAAGGGTACCACGAAATCCAGAGGGTTAAAACCGCGTTTTCCCATGAAAAACTGTAAAAATGACCATTTTTATGTTGGGTAAATCCCTTAGATTCAGCACACTGTTTTTTCGGAGACATGGGTCTGGCCTCCAGAAGGCACAAGCCAAAGGAACCCTCCAAGGCTTCTGCCCAACGCCTGCAAGGCTGGCTTGATCAGGTTTCTGGGAGACTTAGTTAGATAGACGTGTACATACACGCTTTTTGTTTAACGCACTCCATTTGGGGAGACAAATAAATTATACGTATGTTCAATGTTCCTTTTAGAGACAACTGATTTACTGTGTGCATGTCTTTGCTGGGTATATATATATATATAACTATATATATATATTATACATATAATATATATATATATATAATTATACATATAGAGCCAGCAAACGGGAGGTTTTCACTGACTGAAATCCAGGGAAACCCTGCAGGAAATGGAAATCCATTCATTAAGTTCTTACCATCTCTCGGATTGTGCGAATTTCTGGCTTTCTGTTTGACACAAAGGCTACATGTTTGGGGGTTCCAAATGCTAAACCTTTCGAGAAGTTTGGGCAATGAAAAATTAAAAGGTGTTCACCAAAAAAAACAGACTTTTTTGGGCAAAGGTAGCAGCTTTGAAAGGTTAACAACCTTCACCAAAATAATTATAACCAAGTTGTGTCCAGTTGTGTCAGTATATATCGGCATATATCGGCACAACCCAGTTATATCCCAGGATATACCGTATTAGTCGTATAAACCTCCACCCTTCCTCCACCCCCAAGCATGTTGGGCCCCGCCCAAAGTGCTCCACCAAGGAGTTGAACGACTCTTCTGACGAAAGGCGTCGCCCGGGCCTCAAAATGATGAGCTGATGGAACCCGGAAAATAGGGAAATTCTAGGGAAAATCGACCAATGGTGGACTTACCATGAAAAATGCTGGATTTCAGTAGGAAGAATGGGGATATAGTGGGAATATAACTAACAGTACAAATATACAATGTACATATACATATACATGTATGTATATATATATATAAAGATATATATATATATACATACACATGATTTGGGTGCATCTGAGAATGGGCTATACCCAAAAATGGGATGTTCGGATCTAACCGACCGTAATCTTGTTTGAACCAGCCCATGCGAAATATACGAACCAGTCACAAGGGATCATCCCAGCAGAGATGTTTAAAGAAAAATACGATATTCAAAAGTGCCAAGCAGGGTTAGTCAAAGGTTCCGAAAATCCATGCATGCTCCTTGGTGAAATTGGTTGCTTTGATCCTGAGTCTCAAATTTTATGGCAGAACACCTAGTAAATCCGTGAAAATCCAATTGCAGGCATAGTAGTCATGAGTTTTCTCCAACAAATGTGCGGAGCATGTTACCAGAAATCCTCAGAAATCCTCAGAAATCCTCAGGTCATCAGGTAGCCAGAAACCGAGACATAGGCAGACACGGGCAGTTGCAAGTCTCCAATGATAGCCGCTTCATAAACCTTAAGCCCTTAATTATCCTTAATTTGCTTGTTGGTTGATAGGTCCAAAAGAAAAAGCCTTGTTGGAATTTTTATGGGGGGTCACCTGGAGAAGCTATTTGAATCCCCAGGGCCCCAGGGCCCCAGGTCCCACACTTGTCCAAGTGGACGCAGTCACGCATGGCTGACCTGCGGTCCCACGGTCCCATGAAGGTCATATATCTGGACACTAAGATAGAATACAAAATGTATATCGAACATTGTTTCAAACAGAAGCCACCAAAATGGACAAGTTGCCATGTTCATTTCAAATAGAAGCAATTGGCAAAACAGACCCAATGTTTAGACAATTGCTTCTGTTTGGGCCTTGTCTATGCCGATAACGGTTCCAAAGGTTCTCCAGAACCACCTTTAAGAGGCCTATGATTTGCCATAATTCATATCATCATATAATTATCCAGAATTGGTAAACCAAGGTCTCTGGTTTTTCAGGTGGATCAAACCTCAATATCAAAAGAAAAACAACGTGACGACGTCTGGGACACAACGGGATCATCTGCCGACCATCGGCACCTGGCGAACTCGGCCGCCACGCTGCCAAGCTGCTGCGTGGGAGCCTTGGAAAGGGGGGAAGCACTACGGCTTCCAAAATGCTTCAAAATTCCACTTAGTCACTTTGGTGTTTGCACGAAAGTATATTATGGCTTCAATGATGCTTGAACCCAAAAATAAACCATCCCCAATGATATTGAGTTTTGATTCTATTTGGGATCTACGTAGTCATGGTTGGTTAATGGTATGAATTGGTATGGTTTATGGCATTGGGTGAATCCCACATTACAAGCTTCCCAAGTCCGAGTATCCGTCCCAAAGCTTGACCATGGAACACAGAAAGAACTGGATATGCTTGGAGATTTGGAAATATGGATCAAACGTGGGTTTCCAAGAATTATTTGGATGAGTTTGTCTGCAAACAGTCCCAAATTTCACGCTCAATTATCCTTTGTCCTGTGAACTTGCCTAAGGATGTCGAAGCTATCCCCGTATCCCCTATGATTCACCCAAAAAATAAAGTACATGATAACAATATATTTTTTTAACGATAGAATATATATATATACAGTAACAATTGCAAATGACCCAAATCTAAGCTCCTTCGTGGCCCACTTCGCACTTCGACCCATCTTCAGCTGGTCCCCCAGGCGATGTATGGTCGATCGTGGTCTAAGAAGGATCTCACGTGCAACCTGCAGGTGTGGAGTCCTAGAGGTAACAATTCAACAGAATCAGAAAGCTTACGAAACTGGGATTTATATTGATTTATGGATATTCTTATGGTGGATATATGTGGCATTCTATCTTCAGTTGGGTTTCGAAACCAATCACTGGGGGGTCCTCTTTGTAGGGAATGACGTCATGACAATGTTAGACCCACGACTCCCACAACACATTCCCTGCCATTGCAGATCAGGGCCCAGACGTTTTGTTCAGGTCGACGCCTTTCTTTTTGAGCCTTGGTGCAGACCCAGAGATGGGATCGCACCCCAGCAAGCCAGTGTCTTGTCATGATGTTCATACCTCACAATATCAATTGTTCAAAAAAGAGACCCAAAACTTGGGATTCAGTGGTAAAATTGCCGAATTTTGGATGATTTGGGGGCCCCCAATTTTACGAAACCTCCATATGGGTTTCTACCTTTTCTACTTTTGTGGCACCTCTCCACGTTCAGAAATAGTCCCTGCCCTCCTTGGATACCCTGACGCAGCCATGATCTGCTTCGGCTTGCCGATGTCTCCAAAGAGCACCATGTGGGTGATTTTACTGGGCAGGGCGGCTTCCCCGTTCCGGAGAATTCGGTGCATGGCATCATGGCACCATAAGAAACCGTTACCGCTGGTGCCCCTGGTGAAGCTTAAACCGCTGGGATTTGTGGATGTCCATCCCCGAAAATATGGTATAGGTTGTAATCCATGCCCATAAACAAGAAGAAACTTACCACTTGCAAATCTGAAATGGGGCAGGTTGCATGCAGTTTCATTCCACTAGTCGTGGGAAGTGGTAATTGACACCGTGGACCAAATTTCAGCATTCCAAATGAGAGACAGCTATTCATTCCTTGCCACGGCAAAAGTTCATGATTTTTTCCGGGAAGCTCATATCTCCCCATGGTATTGTGGAAGGAAGGTAAAACCTGCAGGTTAAAAGGGCTTGGTCCAACCTCGTGGAACGCTTGGATTGGAGGACACACAAAGGGGTTGGCCAACTGGTGGCCAGGGTTCAAATCTTTAGTTTCTATTCATGTCAAGAAAAAAAACTAAATGATACGAGAGATTCCATTCATTCCATGGATCCACTTTGTTGCTGAAAATCGATGGATCCATTCATCTAGCATTCACCAAATCTTCACCAAACGCTCAAACTCAACAAACTCGCCACCTCTTGGTCAGATTCACTGCGGTGGCAACGCGAGACCTGGAAAACAAATGTGCCATGGTCAAGTTACACCGTGCATATTGTGGTTATTAAACCAACCCAAAACTGGTATGTTTTGAATCCACAGGATATCTCTGTTTTTCTACGGTCTTATGAGTCTGAATTCGATGCGGTGATGTCAATTTTTATTCACAAGAAGTTGAACTCAAAGATGATAACAAAAAAATATACATATAGAAAATGGATTGACAAGCATCCCTCAATATTGGCTGCCTAACTGTTAACCATGGCACAGATGGGATGTGACTTACCTCCCAACGAATGTTGCCCAAAGGTATGGAGGGTGGAGGAACCTATGTTCACTGGAAACCACAGTTTCAGTAACATGAGTTGTAGATGTGCAAGATCTGGATTTGCGGAGGACTGTTTCTTCTGCAGAAATGAAAGTGGGGGATGCAGCGTCAATGGTTGATTGGGGGAAGGGTGATCTGCGAACACCACGAACACCACTCGAAGAGTAGGAAGCCAGAGGCAGGACACATCCGGGATTGCAACATCCTGAGACACACCTTTTTAAACCAGACCCTGACGAAAAAAAACAAAAATAACAAGTGACGTAGGGATCACGTGGAGAATCTTCCTCTTCGGCATTCATGGGACAACTCACTAGGTCACTGTTGTACCCAACAGAATTATTGTACTGTATATACGAGCTCGTCGTTGGGCAAAGGGGTAAACTCTTCACAAACGCTTGGAGGTCTTGGAGATCTCCCAACTCCTCAAAGATGTTGCAATGGATTTGGGCTTCACAATGGCCCTCAAACAAGGCCACAAACTGGTCCTGATTTCTATGATATATAGGTGCAGCCCTTATGAAACCCAGGTTTATTTTGGGAGAATTATTAAATAGCTAAGGGAACCCCATCATCTATACTTGAGTGAAACTACGTATATAGCTTGGGGAGACCCATCATCTATTGGGGGCTCCAGACCATCACATTTCGAGACTCCACACTCTTCGTTGAAGTCTACTCCCACCATCACCACTGGATGCTCCTGCGAAGTTTCTGGATCTCCCAAGATCCACCGAGCGGATTTCCGATACCCAACCCTCGAATGGAATCACCTCGTTGAACTGGAGGGCAACCAATGTTAATCGAAACTGATCCGTTTTTCGGGGGACCAAATGCGGTCCTTCATGAACTAGCAACTAGGGCTTTGTTAGCTTTGTTGATCTACAAGTTGACACTGCAATAGATTAGTCATTGGGTGGTAAGCCACTCGATATCTTGTAAATGTAAACAAAACGGTGATCAACTGACTTCTCGACAGTCACCTTTCTTGCCATGTTTTGATTCCACCCATTCTTCCCGCTTCCCGTGCACTACCCAGGGCCTAGTCGCCCGCGTCTCCTCGAAGTGTTGGCCCCGAGGCGTGTGCTCCTTGATGTGTTGGTAGATTTGCATCAACAAATGACCTCGACCGAGGCACAGGCTGACCTCGTGTTAGCTTCATGGTGTGGAGACTTCCATCAAATCTTGGATTTTGTTGTAAAGTAAAGACTGATGGTCTGATGGCAAATCAACATTCATTTCCCCTTTGCTGAATCTCAAGCATTGTTAGGACCCTGATTCTCGCGTCATTGCCAGTACCACAAGAGCACCCGCTTTTGGGTCTGTGGTTTGTCCTAATTTTTCACCTTCTCTGTGGCGATTGATTTGCTGACATCATCTTGAGACGGTTTAGGGTTTTGGGTTGATACGTGTGGCAACGGGGCGCCCCCACGTTTCATGGTTTATCCTCATAGTTTAGGCTTATAGTCGGCCCCAAAAAATAGGAAAAAAAATGATCACTATTTCAGTAGGATTTTACTTTTCTATATGTTTGGGGGGTTCTACATACTTCTACCCAAAAAAAAAGTGGTTTTCAACCTGGCGCCATCAGCACCGTGGCTCCAGACCATCACCCGAGCCCGTGTCCACCACGTACCGCGGCTGGTTGGCAAAGTCCTGCGAATCTCGGGCCGCTGGGTTCTTTACCCTCTGGTAATTTAACATAGCTACTGAACATGGCCATTTACAGTTGATTTACCCATTAAAAATGGTGATTTGCCATAGTTGTATTAGTCTAGCAGAGGGTAGTCCCCCATTTAGGAAGGGATGATGATCAATCCCTGGCACGCCGATGTTGCTAACAAGACTGGTGACTAAAGCTTGTGAAACTCAGCATATCAGTCACCTGTAACATCTTGCACGTGCTGTTCATGGTGAATTCTTGGTGTCAATCGTTGATAAACAAACTAGACGACAGCGTGGCCCGAAAGGAAACCAGGAGACAAAACTCACTGCTCCCAGCTCCACCTTGGTGAAACTCACCCACTCACTCGCTCACCTGTATCTATACATCTGCATGTATGATGTTAGAGGTGTGTAGATGAATGCAGAGATGAAGATGATAATGATGATGATGATGATGATGATGAGGAGGAGGAGGAGGATTGGCGGCCGCTGTTTGGAAGGAACCCTTTGCAAGAGCTTTCAGGAAAACTAAAACGTTCAACCAGGGTAAAATGGATATTGCCCCGTCTGTTTCGCAAAAAATACCCATGTTCATCTACCATTCACCAGTGGATCTGGGGTTGTGATGTGTTGGCCAGAAATCTCCAAACTCCTCGCCAGAGAAGATGACGTCGATGTGACGCCTGATGGGATGGTTGAAATGATGGGTCAACTGGGTCAACTTGTTCAGTCCCGGGGGACCCGGGCGCATAGGAAGATCTGTGCTTATTGCCCACAATCATGATGGGTGAAGCTAAATTCAGCCAGCAATAAGTGAGGATACTGCGGGTATGGTTGGTTATTAAGTGGACCTGGCTCAGGCAAGCATACGCTGAAAGACGATCGATTCTGCTGCTCCAGTAAACTGTGAAAAGGCCAGCCATGCAATTTCGATCGGCCATCTCGTAAGCATTGCAAAAGTGGCAGCTTCCAATATAGGCTAGCGGCTAGGTGTCCGCCATGTTACCCCATTCTGACTGTAAAAAATGACTGGTTTTCGCCTGGCTTGTCAAAAATTAGCTGCCCAACCCTGCATCCGCAGGCCGCTAAGGCCGCTAAGGCACATCAAATCTTTGAAAAGTGTGGAGTGTTGCGCCCCGCTGCCCACCACGTTTAGCGTCCGCTCCACCTCAAACAAAATCCATCGCTTGCGACGGGTTGCGACGGCTTGGGGCAGACGTTTTCTGTTGGTGGAATCCGAAACTGGAAGCCACAGAATTGGAGATTTGTAATGCTTGGATAGTATGGGATAGCAGTTTAAGCATGTTTACCATTTAACTTCAGAAAGCAAAAAAAAAGTGAAACTGGATGTGGTTTGTTATTGGATTTACCATGGTTCACCAAATTTGCACTGTTCCTAACACCCCAAATCCAAACACGGACTACATGATGATTAAATGTCAGGATGTTCGCATACCCATTTGATTGGCCTTACACCCGTGCCTTCTCTGCTGAGGACTTGTTTATTTCCAAGGGTGCCTGTGTTAATACATATTCCTTTTCAACTTTTGAGGATAACCCATGATTCCAAAAGACTGACTAACCCAAACTGCCAATCAACTCTTGGCAAAAAAAAACTATAGATTTTACACAGCCAAGCCACATGGATCTCGGTCTCATCGTCCTCCATGTCAACAAAGCCCCAGCCCGGCTCTTTGAAGAGAATCTTCTTGAATTCCGCCTCGATTGGTCAAATTGAAAACCCCAACAGCCCACAGATTGACCAGTGTATTGCTAGTATTGACCACAAAATTATTGGGGTACCCAATTTTGAACCGTACCCAATTAGAAGTTGGGAGAGATTGGGGAAGAATGCTGGTTGAAGTATCGCAAAACCCCGAACACAACTTATGAAATAAGAATTTATACTATGTCTGCAATGGAATGAACTGGAGTGGAACGGAGCGGATTGTAGTGATTGTGCAGCGTAATATTTTATTGTTTTTTTGTGCACGTACAATAAGCATATCACAAGCATATCATAATATGTTTCATATGTGAAATCAGCAAGATATCAGCTTTGGGCAGGTCCCGCCGGTATGCATGGCATGAGTGGTTGGTATTGTATGGATGGTAGGTATGGTATGTAAGTCTGTTGGGTATGGTATGTTTGATATGACAGTATGAGTATGTATGGTCTGTATGGTATGTATGATTACTATGATGGGTATGGAATATTTCCTATGTAAGATAGGTATGGTATGTATGGCATGTATATTTGCAATTGTATGTATGGTAGGTGTGGTAATTACATTTCAAATGTATGGTATGTATGGTATGTATGATAGATATGATAGGTATGGTATGCATGGCATCATTGACATGTATGGTAGGTACGGTATATGTTAAACACAGGTAGTGTTGTCAGAGTACACAGGTAGTAAATAGGAAGTAGATACAGTAGAGACATAGCACATGTATATATGACTATGGGTAGCATGTCGGTACTTTGAAGGAGTATGTGTGCTACGTAGGTCGCCTAAAAGGTAGCATGTACCTAGTAAATGCGAGGCTGGTAGTCAGAAATGCTGCAAAGACCTAGCAAATACGAAGCTGGACCTCAGAAATGCTGCCAATAGCTTGCAAATAGAAGGGAAGGGGGGTGCTACCTGGGGACCCAGTACTGTCCCCCTCCCCCCCCCGTGGTGTGGTGGGGGTGTGGTATGGTATGTTGGGTATGTATGGTGTGTGTGGTCGGTCTGGTATGGCATGTTTGGAAAGTATGGTATGTTTGGTATGTATGGTAGGTATAGTATGCATGGCATGAGTGGCGGGTATTGTATGGATGGTAGGTATGGTATGTAAGTCTGTTGGGTATGGTATGTTTGATATGACAGTATGTATGGTCTGTATGGTATGTATGGTTACTATGATGGGTATGGAATATTTCCTGTGTAGGGTAGGTATGGTATGTATGGCATGTATGTTTGCTATTGTATGTATGGTAGGTGTGGTAATTACATTTCAAATGTATGGTATGTATGGTATGTATGATGGATATGATAGGTATGGTATGCATGGCATCATTGACATGTATGGTAGGTACGGTATATGTTAAACACAGGTAGTGCTGTCAGAGTACACAGGTAGTAAATAGGAAGTAGATACAGTAGATACATAGCACATGTATAGATGAGTATAGGTAGCACGTAGGTACTTTGAAGGAGTATGTGTGCTACGCAGGTCGCCTAAAAGGTAGCAGTGCCTAGTAAATGCGAGGCTGGTAGTCAGAAATGCTGCAAAGACCTAGCAAATACGAAGCTGGACCTCAGAAATGCTGCCAATAGCTTGCAAATGGAAGGGAATTGGGGCTGCTACCTGGGGACCCAACCCATGGGGGGGGTGGAGAGACGGAGGACGAGACCATATATACAAAAGCGTATAATACATATATAGATATATAGATGTATATATATATGTATATATATATATATGTATACATAGAGTTATATATAACTACGTATAAAATTATATACAACCATATACATTATACATCCATCTGTGATCATCTGTGTATATACATATACATATACATATACATATACATATACATACACATACACATACACATACACATACACATACACATACACATACACATACACATACACATACACATACACATACACATATACATATACATATACATATACATATACATATACATATACATATACATATACATATACATATATTATACATACATCTGTGTGTGTATTGGCATTTGGCCAAAACCATTCGCTGTGAACTTCCAACAACTGATCTGCCTAAACTGCGTGCAGTTTTTGCAGCCGCTGCACAAGTTCTCCCATGAGGCCTGTAAAAAACGCTATTGTTTGTGGGATATCGCTCCTTGTATACCTCCCCAAAATCGCAAGCTGTGCAATGGCTGAGACTCCCCGGCAAGCATGGGAGAATAGGAGGTTGGAACGTAGAAGGAGTAACACCTCCCGAGGCGATTTCAGTCAAAAACTGTGAGACACAGGCCCCACACGGAATTCCGACAGTGACATGCTGACAATGGTGAGGGTCGCTGTGGCCAAACAAGATAACACCTGCCGGACTACAGCATCGGGGGTTGAATTTGGTTCTATGCCTGGGAATGGCTCTGTTGACCCAGAGATGCTCAAATCAACCACAGAAGCGCACCAAAAAAACACAACCCTTCAACCTGGACATCCAAAAACCCTGCCAGGGGTCCCAGAATTGGTTGAAGCGAAAATCGACAAAATCTACCGGAAATCCCCATGTTTAGGTGGAAGCAAATGTGGCCATCTGCAATTCTGCATCCCGAGCGCCTCTGTAAGGCCAAAGATCCTCTGGCAGAAACAGAAACTATGCCTGGCTCCCGCAGAATCAGCGAAAGCTCGGGAGGATTTTGGAGATGAGAAGGGTTTGCTCCAAAATGGGATTGTCCAATGGGGTCTAGCCCATCAAAACAGCAAGTTCAGTTGGAAAATGAGAATAAACCATTCGATTTTGGGGTATTTAGGGGTACCTATTTTCAGACAAACCCAAATTGCAATTTTCATGGGGAAAACCACCTGAGACCCAGTTGCCTGTTTTTTCAGGCTAGATACGGCCACTCATCCCACCCTGGAAATGAGCCCGGTACAAAGTGATGCATAACCAAATTGTAGCGAAGACAAACTCGTAGCAATTGCATGTTTCGTAGCTACAAAAGCTACAGCTCTCCGCTTGCCCACAGGACATATCGCCAATCAAAGATGGAGACAGCAGCCAATCAAGATTGTTTGGGTCTGGGTCAAATTCAAAGGCTAAACTAACAACCGCATCTTTGGCCTTGGTCAATCATATCAACCGCAACGCAATGTGGATCCTTTCCCAGAAATCTCCAACATCTTTCCCCCACCTTTGGGACTCATGGCGCCAACGCCAAGCTCCTTGTGCCCAGTTCCCAGAGAATATCAGCCACAAATGAAAAAACATTACTCCTTGGAATAATATATGAACAAAAATAACAATACTAATAACAATCATTAGTACCAACAATAAGGATGATACTAATAAGCAATAGTCATTAGTATGAAAACACAGCAGAAAAATGACGTTACGAACAATAGTAATAAAATCATAGCAATAGTGATAATCATAATAGTCATAATGTTAATAACATCAAAACAATAATAACAAGGCTACAAATCACCAGCACCGCAATTGTGTCGCCCCATCTCCTCGAAAATTTCACCTAGGGCCGTGCGCGAAGCACTGTCCACCTTGCTGAAGTCGAACTTTTCCATGGCCTCTGCGGGGAAGACCGATCAGGACCGAACTGAAATGATTGATTTACTAGCCACTATATTATATTATATTATGTTATATTATTTTATGTTATACTATATTATATTATGTTATGTTATATTATATTAAATTATTTTTATTACATTATATTATATTATATAATACTATAGAAACAAATATATCATATCATATTATATTATATTATGTTATATTATATTATGTTATATTATATGTTATTAAATCTTATTATATTAAATTAAATTAAATTTTATAATATATCATATTATATTATGTTATATTGTATTATATTATATTAAAATATATTATGTTATATATATTATATTTTTTGACGTTATATTAGATCATTTTATATTACCAGCCATTATATTATATTATATTTTACTAGCCATTATATTGTATATTATACTTTTCTATGCTGTATTATATGTTTATTGCATTATATTGTATAATATTAAATTATTTTCACTAACCAGTATATATTATATGTTACTAACCATCTTATTATAATATATCATATTATATGTTATTATGTTGTGTTAGATTCTATTACATTATATTATATCATTTTTTATCATGTATATATATATATACGTATATATAGTGTGTATATATATATACATATGTGGATATGTGGGATTATATATATATATGTATATATATAAATATTTACATATGGTGATAGTGATATAGCAATAATACCCAGATGATATACTACCCTCTGGTAATTTAACGTAGCTATGGAAGCCATTGCCAATTTATGGATGATTGTTTATATAATGATTTACCTATGAGAAAAAACTTCGGTGGTATCCCCAACAGCCGCAACGTTTTACTTTTACAAATCTTTCAGATGCGTGCTGCGAAGCCAAGAGCTGGAACCTTCTCCGAAACCCGTTGAACCTGACCTGGCTGCACCAAAGCCTCCCAGACCTTCTCCGGAACCTTCTCCGGAACCCTGTTGAACCTGACCTGGCTGCACCAAAGCCTCCCAGACCTTCTCCGGAACCTTCTCCGGAACCCTGTTGAACCTGACCTGGTTGCACCAAAGCCAGACCTTCACCAGAACCGTCTCCGGAACCCTGCTGAACCTGACCTGGCTCTGCACCAAAGCCTCCCAAACCTTCTTCGGAACCTTCTCCAGAACCTTCCGGAACCCTGTTGAACCTGACCTGGCTCTGCACCAAAGCCTCCCCGACCTTCTCCGGAACCTTCTCCAGAACCTTCTCCGGAACCTTTTCCAGAACCTTCTCCGGAAGCTTTGCACCAAGGCTTCCTGGAACCTTCTCCGGAACCTTCTCCGGAACCTTCTCCGGAACGCAAAGCCTCCCAGACCTTCGCCGGAACCTTCTCCGGAACCCTGTTGAACCTGACCTGGCTCTGCACCAAAGGGTTTCCGACCTTCTCCAGAGCCTTCTCCGGAACCTTCTCTGGAACCTTCTCCGGAACCTTCGGGAATCTTCTCCGTCCCAGACCTTCTCCGGAACCTTCTCCGGAACTGTTGAACCTGACCTGGCTCTGCACCAAAGCCTCCCCGACCTTCTGAGGAACCTTCGGAACCTTCTCCGGAACCTGGTTGAACCTGACCCGGTGCCTGCACCAGTGCACACCAGAGCTATTCTGGGCTGAAGACCCGATTCACTTTCGCTGTTGGGGGAAAAAACAACAGAAGTTTTGTGGGGAGATTCTTCAGGGAAGTCCTTGAGGATTTCACCCCCCCTCCACGGGAGTTCATCAACGATGATCAAAAGCCTAATCTATTTATTTGGGGTTGACATTATACCATTAGCTTCAGATTTAAATTCCCATTCCATCAACTTCGAAATCCCCAAGGCATCACGGCTGACACACTTCTGTCCATTGACTTCCTGAGGCTGAAGGTATGTGGGTGGGTCTGAAAATGGAACAGTTACCCCAAAATGGCTAGCGTATCTTAATATGGAAATATATGATTAAGCGCTGGATTTGGGGGATGCACCATTTTCAGACAAACCCAGAATAGACTCAAGGACCACAGATTTTGGATGAGGTTGGTTATCTTTTAGTGTGTGACCAGTGAACATTCACATTTTGGTCTCTAAAGTGTGACCAATACACAAATGACCAATGACAATGATCCAGTAGAACCCTACGTTGAGCACCGGTCAAAGGTCCAGAGAAAATTGATACCGAAAAAACTGGGCATGCCAAGCAGCGGCCTGGGTCTTTCCAAAAAAACAAATCGTATCTTCCAAAATTGAGATTGTTTACCGAGAAATTGTCAAAATATGTGGCTCCCAAAACCATAGAATTCAATCCCATTAAGTCCCATTAAGACATAGTTTGTGATGCTTACCTACCCGAAACCTGACCCAAAATCCATAGCCGCCATAGCCTTGTCCTTGCCGTAGTCCAAGCCCTCCTCACCCCAACGTGCGAAGTAGGTGATTGACGTCAGCCTTAGCAGCGCCGAGGCTGTCTTCCGGGAAGAGATCTGGGAAAACAGGAGGTTTTATATCGCTGGAGATACAGAAAGATGTATATGCTTGTCATGATCTGGTTGGTGGTTGGAAGTTTCCAATGTGGATTTTAGCATTCCCACAGGAAATTAGACTACATTGAACAAGAAAAACTACCATCTTTGGTGAGCTCCCCCTAAAAAGCAAAAATTGATGAATTCGGCCATTGATGGGTAAAAAGAATTGCAGTAATTTGTTTGACACAATAAAGTAACCCCGAACAATATCGAAAAATAAGTTATTACTATTTAAGCGGGATGTTACTGTTCTTTTCTGTATGTTTCGTTCTGTTTCGAGGTTGTTATACTATGAAACAAGAATGTGGTATGACAGTGTCGCAGCATGCTTTTCTGTGAAATTGTTTTGGAAGACTCTCAAGGTACCGTGACACACGGAAGAAATGCGTTTGACAAATCTATGGAAGCCTGGGTAGCCAACACTCACATCCAGTATCTAAAACCTCTTGGTGAATCTTGTATCCATAAAAACACTCCGCCGAGCAGAACACATTTGCAGTTGGATATGTTTGGATGGGAAATCAATACACAATTACTCTTGGGAAATATTCCAATGATTGCGGTCTGCTTCCATCTCAAGACATTGTTTGAGGGGAACACCACCTTTGGCGGCCACTGGGGCATCCAACAAGGGCGCTAAAACAATGCCGTCCAAGAGAATAGGCAGCACCTGACCAATTGCGATGCCCAAGGACCAAACTGAAAAAAATGGTTATCCCACTAATCCCTTCCCCCGAAGATTCAATCCCGAGAAACGCACTGGTTAACATCGCACAAACGATATCTCTTCATGTTATTTGGGTCTACTGGTGGGTTTTTTGAGGGGATGATATCATATTGTATCAATATCCCACTAGGTTTATATCAATATCCCACTGTATACCCATTCAATGTGTGAAAGCCCCGGTTGTTTCGCTGCCTTGCTCCTGGAATGCATCCAGGTGGGCCGATGCTCGGCCCAAACGACCAAGCACTTCCTCGTGGTGGTCACTTCTTGGGGCGAAAAATGTATTCAAAAAGGTTATGGTGGTATGTAAAGGGATGTTAATGGGATATGATTCAGCGGTATATAACCGGGTATATAATGGGGTATATAATGGGACATCGGGGGCCATGTGTCTTTTCCGGGAGGGATGTGAAGCCACAAATCTGCCAAGCAACTCCGCTTCAGCGGAAGGCACTGCAAAGGGTGGAATCGCCTGCCGTGATGGGATGGTCCCATGGGACGATAGCAACCCATGCAGAAAAGATTGATGTAACATTCGAAAAAGTCATCCAGCTCCATCATATACCAGTTAACCAGTTAACCTCATATCACCCCATTTTGATGGCAATCCTATTTTTTCAAAAAAATGTGAATCCAATAACCAAATGGGTTAGAAACTTGAAAGCACAGCAACTGTGCACAGTGCGCCTCTTTTCTTTCTTGAACCACTGGATCGCGGCATGTGTGTTCTGTTGTGTCTTAAGTTTCAACCCTCCTAAGCCGTAACCCTCCAAACCACTGTAGTAGGGATACATCTGAAAATAGGGTATCCCCAGATGTGATGGTTCACCACAATAGTCCACCATTTTGAGACAAGGCCATAAATTGTCTGAAAATGGGCTAGACCCCCGTAGCTATTTCGTATGAATTATGAATGGTTTGGCCATTTTCGTGAAAAACCTTGGCACCCAAACGGTACTCTATTTTATAGCTGGTTGGATGAATTTCTTCATTCCCAGAGAATGCTGGTAAATTCATAGGTAACTTGACCCATCCATCAGAAACAACAATCCTTCAAGGCCATCGCACCTCTGAGTAAATGCTGCCGATGGCGCCCGCCATGCCCATGCCCTGTGAAGGCCTGGCAGTACTTAATGAGGAGATCATGGATCAAATGTGGTAAAACCATGTTAGACAAATAGAAAAAGATGATCAAATTCAACCATGTCAACATGGAAAAATCATCGTGAGATACCATGGGAATATATAAGCAACATTTGGCATTTAATGATGTAACCACTACTATGAGGATATGAGATGGAAATATCATCAGAATCTAATGGGAATATGATAGTGTACATATCTAACCAACAACATGATATTTGGGTGCGTCTGAAAATGATGGGACTCACACCTACGTGTTTTTAGGGGGTGCCCTACTTTTAGACAAACCCACCTTGTTGATATCTTTGGGGGGGAACAAAATACAAGTAGTTTCCAAACATAGGGATGTTTGCGGTTTGAAACCCTGTTAGTCCAGTGCACATACCACTGCTAGGGGGTGAAACCAATTGAAGTCAATGGACTCCATCCATCCCCTTTGGGTTGGTGGAAGGATGGTCACAATTGAAGTATCCCAAAAAACTCCTCAGAATGGGCCAAATTGAAAAGTTCATCCACCCGAAATTTTGCGCATGGCACCTGAGCATCGTCTGCACTTCTTCTAATTCAAGGCCCTTCACAGCTGAATATGTTCCCTGGCGCAGACCGGCACGAAAGCTTATCAAATGTTGTCCGGAAATTGGGTACTGCAAAATTCCCTGGTTGATTTTAAAAAAATGTTCCCCATGAAAACCTGGCCATATACATATACGTACATGCACATATGTATATATATATATACATGCATGCATGCATGCATACATACATACAGTGGAAATATGCAAACATATGTGCATATATGTAAATAAGTTTGTATACGTGCACATGTGTATGTAAGTGTGTATGCATGTCTTTCGATGAATATTGATGTATATGTACATAGATAGATAGATAGAAACCTATATATATATATGTATGCATATGTGTACATATGTAACTGTGTAAATATGTATACATGTACAAAGGGTTACATATATATATATATACGCATGTATGTACGTACATGTATGTATCTATGTATGTACCTGTATGTACATGTATGTACCTGTATGTACATGCATGTACCTGTATGTACGTGTATGTATGCATGCATGCATGCATGTATGTATGTACGTATGTGTGTGTATGTACCTGTATAATATACATGTATGTAAATGTACGTACCTGTGTGTACCTGTATGTACATGTGTGTACATGTATGTACATATGTACAGTAAGTTACATGTGTATGTATATATATATATGTGTGTGTGTGTGTGTGCATATGTCCGTATCTACGTATGAAAAGTTCATGGAACCAGTGTGCATGCGTGTATATGTATATATATATATATTACCCAAAGTCGTAAAAACATAAACCCTCCCACTTTTTGTGGCTAGTGAGAGTGTGGACTGATTTCGCAACTCGCGCCAATGGAAAGTGGTGTAGGAACTGGTGGTCGCACCAACGCAGCCCGGATGAAACTCAAAATTGCCTTTCGCTCTTCCCTTTCTTCTCTCTTGTGTTTCTTTGGAGTTCTCAAAGCACGTATGTATACAGTATAAGTTTACATTCCACTGAGTCTAACCAGAATTCTCCCAACTCTCAATTAGTATTTGTGACTTTGTGGTTCAAACTTCAGAGCGAAAGGGTAACTTTGAGAACATCATCAGTGAAGCATGGTGGACTTTTCTTTGTATTGAAAATTCATGTGTAAACCACTGACATCTACTACTACTACTACTATTATTATTACTACTACTACTAATACTACTGCTACTACTACTGCTACTACTACTACTATTATTATTACTACTACTACTACTACCACCACTACTACTACTACTACTACTTCTTCTTCTTCTACTTACTACTACTTACTACTACTTACTACTACTTACTACTACTTACTACTACTTACTACTACTTACTACTACTTACTACTACTTACTACTACTTACTACTACTTACTACTACTTACTACGACTTACTACTACTTACTACTACTTACTACTACTTACTACTACTTACTACTACTTACTACTACTTACTACTACTTACTACTACTTACTACTACTTACTACTACTTACTACTACTTACTACTACTTACTACTACTTACTACTACTACTTACTACTACTTACTACTACTTACTACTACTCACTTACTACTACTTACTTCTACTACTTACTTACTACTACTTACTTACTACTACTTACTTACTACTACTACTTACTACTACTTACTACTACTTACTACTACTTACTACTACTTACTACTACTTACTACTACTTACTACTACTTACTACTACTTACTACTACTTAGTACTACTTACTACTACTTACTACTACTTACTACTACTTACTACTACTTACTACTACTTACGACTACTTCTACTACTACTACTACTCCTACCTCCTACTCCTACTGCTACTACTACTACTACTAGTAGTACTACCACTACCACTACCACTACCACTACCACTACCACTACCACTACTACTACTACTACCACCACCACTACCACTACCATTACCACACTGCCACTACCACTACCACCACCACCACCACTACTACTACTGCTACTACTGCTACTGCTACTCCTACTGCTACTCCAACTATTACTACTCCTACTCCTACTCCTACTCCTACTCCTACTTCTACTCCTACTCCTACTCCTACTCCTACTCCTACTCCTACTACTACTACTACTACTAATACTACTACTACTACTACTTTTTACTACTCCTACTCCTACTCCTACTCCTACTCCTACTACTACTACTACTACTACTTTTACTACTACTACTACCACTACCACTACCACTACCACTACCACTACCACTACTACTACTACTACTACTACTACCACTGCTGCTACTACTACTACTACTACCACCACCACCACCACTACCACTACCACTACCACTACCACTACCACACTGCCACTGCCACTACCACTGCCACTGCCACTACCATTACCACTACCACTACCACTACCTCTACCACTACCAATACCACTACTGCTACTACTACTACTAATAATAATAATAATAATGCTAAGGCCTACGCCTCCTCCTACTCCGATGCCTACTCCTACTCCTACTTCTACTCCTCTACTCCTTTCTCCCTTCCTCCCTACTTCCCCAAGTACTAAACTGGTAGTGCCGGTAGCTAATGATACTGCCTACAGCATCACAGTCGTCTACAGGTCCTCGTCACAGGACGCACACAGTACTAAACTGATCGACCAGTACTCATTTGGTATGCGGTCCATAGGTTGTTCAAACAGGCACTTGCTACTCAAGCTGCTTCTGATCTACGGCTCTGTCTTCGTTTCTTCTTCTTCCTCTTCTTCTTATTCTCTTCTCTTCTGCTTCTCTCTCAGGCTTCCACCTAGCGTGCACATCAACTTCCCTTGGGGCAATCTCTCTCCGCTTCCACCCTGTCTCCTTCCATGCAGCGGTCTGCTGTCAAGCCAGAGGCTCATACATAGTACCTGGCGCTACTTTGCTGGGGGTATACGATCAAGTGGTTGTTACAGCCAGCACTTGCTGCACAAGCCGCTTCCGTTTTGCGGCTTTGTCTTAGTCTTCCTTTCTTCTTCTTCTTCTTCTTCTTCTTAAGTCTTCTTCTTCTCTTTTTCTCTTCTGCTTTTCCTAGAGTGCACATCAAACTCCCTTGGGGCCACTTCTCTATGGCCGGCGGGCTTGCCGAAGGCAACTAAATACACATACAAATACATATACTAAAACTATGCAAATACATACATGCACAAATACACACACACATACACATATTTATGAATATAAATAAAACTATAGAAATGAATATATGTATATCTCTAAATACTGTATATCTGAATACATGTGTGGCATGTTTATATCTAGAAAAGTACTGCATTCAGATGCCTATGTTCCATCTGCCCGTGATCACCTGCGGGTCCATGCTGACGTAGCCCAAAATGCGGCAGGTCCGCAGCAAGATTGCCAGAGGCCCGGGCTGGCGGTGACGGCTACAAGAGGATTTGATCCAGTCACACGTCAATGACTCGGATATATCAAGATTAAATCATCTATAAAAACTATCATAGAATCTTGAAACCAGTTGTTGGGGGTCTGATGTTTCGTTCACAGGGGTGTTGTAAGATGGACTAAGATGGTATAGCCTGTTGACTGACTAGGACATGTCATGGGACTTGCCTATGATCCAAATATCCAATCGTCAGTGAGGAGCGGTGCCCTATGTGCACCGCGCCTGTGCACCTGTCTCTGCACAAAGTTCCTGGCTCTGGGAGGGATGCGTCTCTTCATGATTCACAGTGATGTGCAACGCATACCCTCTGGGAATTTGACATAGCCATGGAAAATCACCGTATTGTTAATGAGCAAATCATCTAGAAACGGGTCATGTTCCACAGCTATGTTAATTTTCCACACAATAAACCATCCAAAAACGTCAAAACACCACTTTGAGGTGGCTCTGTCTCAACATTGGGAGCCTCCAAATCCATCAAACTGGTCAATTTTTTGTTGGTTCACTTTCATGGCTTCACATGCCAAATTCATTGCTGACTAAAATCCCCCATCTTGGAGGGAGAGATGCTAACAAGCGCATGCAGTTTGAGGCCCCGGTTGCATCACCTGGGCCCAATCAATTTGGAACAGGACATGGTCATATCCCCAGTGTTTGTTGGGCACTGTAGCACCCGTAGTTGGCGGATTCATGTCGCCCTTGGTTCACTTCGGTCCAGAAATCAAATGGAGTACTTTGGAAAACCCCGTGTTTTGTACGAAAATCTATGGGAGCAATCTACAAATGGCGGAAATTCCATTGCCATGATTGATTCGTCAACCCCTAGGGGGAGAAAAAGCACTAACAGAGATCCTGCTTGAACATTCGATCTGTTTGTATTGAGGTGCCATCTGGGAGGGTTTTTAGGGGCTGGACTGAAGGACCCTGCTTTTGAAAAACACACCAGTACACACCAGCTTGACTTGTTTGGCTCATGATCCTTTGGTCCAAATGTAGAGAGTATACGGTATATCTACCAAGAGCTTGCAATCCCATCCTTTACTGTGAAAATTGCGACTCTTAGATGAACTGCAAAAATAAACAATGGGAATGATATTCCCCAGTGTATGGCAAAAGATCAAAGCATCAAACTACCCTTCAGGAGATGGTTCAGCCAAATCTGGATGTTTTTCCCCAACCAAATTTGAAAGTATATGATAGTATCAAACCATAAAATGGCGAATGTCCAAAAAGAGTTCCAAACAAAAAGACACAGGTGAATCCCCCTTGCCATTGTATCATATGATATCCAAGTGGTTCCTCTTTTTGCTGAAGTCTGATATCAGACCTCCTTCCACCCTTCCAAGCCCTGGCCCTGTGCCTCTAGGGTCATGGCCTTTCTTTGAAGCGGTTCAGCAAAGGAGGACACGAATTCCAGGAGTAGCGGTCCAGACTGGGCGGCTCTGCATGGGAAAATCTACAGGATGCCATCAGGTGTGGACCCATCAAAAACAAATGAGTCTGTTCGTTACGTTAAGGTAAAAATTGAACTGATAGATAGGTAGATAGATAGATATAGAGATAGAGATAGAGATAGAGATAGAGACAGACACAGACAGACAAACAGCCAGCCAGGCAGGCAGACAGACAGAGAGAGATATAGATATACATATAGATATACATATAGATATACACATATAGATATACACATATAGATATAAACATATACATATACACATATAGATATACACATATAGATATACACACATAGATATACACATATAGATATACACATATAGATATACACATATAGATATACACATATAGATATACACATATAGATACACACATATAGATATACAGATATAGATATACATATATATATATAGATATACATATATATATATAGATATACATATATAGATATACATGTATAAATATATATATATATGTTTACATATATATATACATATATATACATATGTATGTATATATACATATATAGATATATACATATAGATATATACATATAGATATATATATATATACATATATATATATGTATATATATGTATATACATATAATATAGATATATATATATACATATATATATATATGTATATACATATATATATATATGTATATACATATATATATATATATATGTATATATATATATCTATATTATATGTATATACATATATATACATATATATATATGTATATGTATGGATGTGGATATACTGTAGATATAGATATAGATATGATAGAACTCATGCTGAAGGAGCCAGAGCACCACATCCTGATGAATTGATAGATAGATCCTTACTCAATCTTACTGATAGATTCTGATGGATCCATGGGGTTGAATAAGATGAGATGAAAAGAAAGATTGACATTAAGATCAAGATTCAGATTATAAATAGATATGTATGTATATATATATTATATAATATATATATATATATGAATTATATATATATATGAATTATATATGTATATAAATGTATCATCTGGACATACTTAAAATGGTTGCTAATTTCTTTGGTAAACCCCTAAACTGAGAGATTCTTCGGCAAAAAAAACTTCCGGTTCTGTGGGCTGTATCCGGGGCCCCCAACGGTCCATCCGTGGATGAGCATGAAGGCATTGCTACTGAGATCAATGCCATTCTCGACGGCTTCCTGGATATCATGATATCTAATCTATCTATCTATCTACCTACCTACCTACCTATCTATCTATCTATCTATCTTACTTATCTATCTATCTATCTATCTATTCTATTCTATTCTATTCTATTCTATCTATCTATCTATCTATCTATCTAATCTGTCTAATCTGTCTAATCTATCTAATCTATCTAATCTATCTAATCTATCTAATCTATCTAATCTATCTAATCTATCTAATCTATCTAATCTCTCTAATCTCTCTAATCTCTCTAATCTCTCTAATCTCTCTAATCTATCTAATCTATCTAATCTATCTAATCTATCTAATCTATCTAATCTATCTAATCTATCTAATCTATCTAATCTATCTAATCTATCTAATCTATCTAATCTATCTAATCTATTAATTTATCTAATCTATCTATTCTATCTATCTATCTATCTATCTATCTTATCTTATCTTATCTTATCTTATCTATCTAATCTAATCTAATCTAATCTAATCTAATCTAATCTAATCTATCTATCTATCTATCTATCTATCTATCTTTAGCTGCGTTGATCAAGCTGCGTTGATCAACCAACCACTGGGAAACTTACTATGGTTCCCAAATGGATATGCTTCTTCCATGGAATCCCTTTGGTTTTCGAAACAAAATCCTTTGGATTTATGCATCCTCATCCCTCCATTCGTGTGTGAATTCTAGGTTTTAACCCATTGCCAAATCAGAAAAATAAGCCCACTTGGGGATGGTCCCCCCAATCCTAACCACCTACGGTGAGATTCTTGGGAGCATCAAACTTGCAGAATTCAAGGGTGGGACATTCACAGGTTAAAGGGAGATCACAGGAAACCATAGATTTACATGCCCAAATACCAAAGGTGTCCTGGAAATATTCGCGTGGACCAATTAATTATGGAAAATGTTGATGTATGGTTTGTTGTTGTGGGGGTTCTGCCGGATATTGGAAGGGTTTCTTGTTTGGATGGGTATTGATGGATATCTGAATGGTATGGCTCAATGAGCAGCCAGACATTTGATCCAAAAGGATCCAAAAGGAACATCCGAATTGATTCGTTGGGGAGATGTCGCCTGCATCACCTGCAACACCTCATAAAATGATTGCAAAAAATGGCTGATCATCCCATCTAGATCTCAGCAATGGGGTCGAATGTATGGTCATATCACAGTTTCAAGTGATACTCGTGTAATAAGTTGATGATGTAGTGGACTTCACTGGCTACCTTCCGCAGGCTGCTGTACCTTCTGCAAAAAGTTTCTAAATGCGAGGTCAAAAACAGCAGCACAAGAGAGGCAAAAGGAAGCCTTCTACTCTATACAAAAGGCAAACCCTAAGGAGAGGAAGGCAAGCGGGGGGAACGGAACCCTTATGGGACGGGACGACGGGACGGAAAGCGATATCATCCCAATTCGGGGAGATAAATCAGATTGCATCGCCATGAAACAGTTGCAATGGCGACTGCCAAAGTCCCAATCCCGAATCACCTCATTACAAGACTCAAAGGGATGACATGGCATACACAAGCTGCCCATGCCCATTGAGAAACCCATCTTCCGAAACCGTTCAAAGACTCCCATGGCGGTTGTTGTTGCTGCCCTCAAGTGATTGTGGGAAGTTCTTCGCGAAAGATTTGGACACCTATCTGAGTTTTAAAAAAAAATCCGTTGGCTGGATACATTTTGTGTCAAAAGCTGCGCATGAAAACCTTCTGGGTGGCATAAAAACCCTCTGAATGTCTATTTTTTGTGTTTCAACCGTGTCTTGAAGGTCAAAACTGCTTTTTAGGCTTTGGTAGTCTGTTGCCATACAACCCAGCAGCAGAATCAAGTCTTGTTGGATCTCTCATCTTAGGTTCCCACCAAGCCCGCCAGCCTGCACCCCCCAAGCCTCAAGTGTTGCTTGATCGCACATGTCGCACCGGCGCCAAAACTGTTAAAGGATATCACCTCTTCAAATGGGCCCCTCTGTGGCTGATCAATTAAGGAACCCAGCAGTTGTAGCTGATCTTCAGGTTGCCAATGGTTTCGCCATGTGTCTCGTCATGTCCTTTCCAGCATTTTGCGCTGGTACCTGCGACCCAAAAGCGGCAACGGTCCAAGTCCCACCAAAAGGGCCTAGTTTGAAGCCCTCGGAGAATCACGTGACATCATGGTCCTAAAAGCTGACTGCATTCGCAAGAATCGAAGTTGTTCATAGGGTCCCGAAGTCCATGCTTCAGGCGACCTCAAAAGACAAACTTTCACCACGGCACTGTCCAAACCGAACACTTTAACTGAGATTTTATGTACTGTAACTGTAACGAAGAGAGGTTGCATACCTCAAGATTGGTGGCATCAATGTGTCAACTGGGAAAAAAATCATTGTGTGCGTGTGTGCAAATATAGGGAATTCCCCTTGAATGGCCATGTTACTAGAGAAAGATGGATGATAAACCATCAAAATATCTGGGTAAAGTAAGTAATACACCATCCCCAAAATTAGAATTGTTATGGGTTGTATAAAACATATCAAAACATTATAAAACCATCCCCAGTCATGGTAGGCTGCAGGATTTCCCACACTACCCCAACAAGCAGCCGTTGTTTGAAGCGGCGCATTTTGACGCAGCAATGAGGTCACAGTCACAGGGCAATGATTCCTTTGGCCAGTAGCAACCTGCCACGGCCCAGATATGTGCCTGGAACATACCATTTTCTGCTGCAAAAAAAACATGAGTTTAGCACACATCTTTTTGAATCTATTGATAAGTGACCATTGTCGTTGAATTTCAGGCATGAAGCACCAATCAGAAAACGCACCGAAGAGGATGTTGAAGCAGCATAAGCCATAAGCCAACCGGTGCTTTGGACCTTCGTTTGGATGATTTTCCTTGAAAATTTCCCCCCAATTCAAAAGGCATTCACTATCTGCCTGACTCTCTGAGAATATGGTACGACCCCAAAATCGGGTTGATCATCATTTCCCCTACTTTTCATTGATTTTCTTTATTCCAATTTTTCCAATATCCATTTTATATGTTGGGGTGACCCAGCGCCTGTGTCCCAAGGATTTCACGTTGAGGACCTCCCATAAGGAGGGCTCAATGCGGCTCATCGCAGAGCCTTCCTTACCGAGGACACCTGGTCAAAAATGAGTTGCGGAGCTCACCAGGCACCAGGCCCAAGGCTTGTAGCATGGCCACTGGGATGCACCCCGTTTTGTAACCATCAGAATCACTAGCTGGTTGTATCATGTTCATCAACTTTTGATAACTTCAGAATGATAAACAGAGATGGCCGCAGTCACCTGGTCATCTGGTCCAGCCCCATTCAGCAGAGTTCTAACCAAGTGGCAGGCGGAGAGCGGAGCCAAACTGCCAAACTGCTCCAGAATGACAGGACCGTAGGACACCTCGGCGGCCGAAAAGCCACTTCAGCGACTGACTGGTTAAAGGTCTAAGTCAGTGGGACACCTTCTGTGGACACAAAAATTGAGGCCCGCAAATGCACTGAACTTGCGAAGCAACTACTGGTCCATCAACTCATCAACTCCTCAGGTCCTAAGAAAAAAACCTCAGAACAGATCAGAACGGATCAAAACAGAAGATCCACCCATTGAAAACTAGTTGAATTCCTCCAGTGGACATCACGGTTTTCCAGCGTACCAACCCAGAAATTCATGGGGCCCAACCCTTGGATGGTTTTCCAACTCCTTGCAAAAACAATCAAACAGTGGGGTGGGCACATCGAGGCCCCAGATGTTAAACTTGAAACTAATCTCCTTCTTTTACCCCCCACTGGATGGTTTCTGATCATCAGCATCATCATGTTCATCAGCATCACTAGTTTCATCCTCATGCTCATCGTCATGCTCATCATCATCATCATCGCCATCATCATCATCATCATCATCATCATCATCATCATCATCATGTTCATCATCATCACCACCATCATCATCATCATCACCATCATCATCATCATCATCGTCGTCATCGTCATTGTCGTCATCATCATCATCATCACCACCATCATCATCACCATCATCATCATCATGTTCATCACCATCATCATCATCATCATCATCACCATCACCATCATCATCATCATCATCATCATGTTCATCATCATCATCACCACCACCACCATCATCATCATGTTCATCACCATCATCATCATCATCATCATCATCATCATCATCATCATCATCATGTTCTTCATCATCATCATGATGATCATCATCGTCGTCGTCGTCGTCATCATCGCCATCATCATCATCATCATCATCATCATCATTGTCATCACCATCATCATCATCATCATCATCGTCATCATCATCATCATCATCATCATCGTCATCGTCGTCATCATCATCATCATCATGATCAACATCATCATGTTCATCATCATCATCATCATCATCATCATCATCATCATCATCATCATCATCGTCATCGTCATCGTCATCGTCATCATCAGCAGCAGCATCATCATCATCATCATCATCGTCCATATTCCCGACAAACGGCCTTAAACAAATAAACATATTACTTTCTGACCTGGGACTGCTTCGGTCGTCCCCTGGGCCATCCCCCGATCCCCCTGTGCCGAGCTTCCAGCGCTCCGCGGCCCGAGTCCAAGCCCCGAAGCCAGGCCTTGACCTCGTCTTCGGTGTCAATGACGTTGGGCCGCTCCGGAGCCGCGGCCGGGGGCGCGGCGGGTTCGGGCGGCCTTGCAAGGGAGGAAGGGGGATGAGAAGTTGCTACTTATCCACACCAAGTCATGGAGCTAACCCGCAAAATCCACATAATCCAGAAACCGATGGAATTTTCTTCGCCGACGTTTCGCACCTGCTGGTATTTGGCTTAACACTTGGTGCGGCGCTGGGTTTCGCGCTCGGCGCTCCGCCCTTCTTGGGCGGCGTGCGGGGCGCGGCAGAGGCCGGTGCGGCCGAGGCCGGCCGGGCCGGTGGCTTCTTCTCTGGCGGCGCCGGCTTCGGTGGCGGCGCCGGCTTTGGCGGTGGGGCCGGCTTCGGTGGGGCCGGCTTCGGTGGGGCCGGCTTTGGTGGGGCCGGCTTCGGTGGGGCCGAGGCAGTCTTTGGCATGGCCTTGGGTTGTACAGACACTGGATCTGGAGCACGCCAGACCCCGCGGTCCGGGGAGGGTGAAGGCGAAGAGCTTGCATCCTGGAGAGGCCCAGGGGACCAGGGCCGGAACTGCAAATGACTTGTCAAAAAAGAAACTGTTTCAGCACGGGTGGGAAAACAACAGTGTTGGAGGACAGTGTCCTTCCTATGGTTCTAGGGTCACAGGAACCTTTGGATGGGACCTCTTCCTTCATAGACACACTCATCGGTCTTCACACTAAGCATGTCTGCCACCACAACCATAGACACGAGACTTTCGCTTCCACGTTTGACCTAGAATTCTAGAAAACTGTGATCTTGTGCGATCTCTTGTTCCGAATGTGTTGTTGTTCTGGTCACTCTACATAAGGTACAGGCACAGAAAGCTGCCAAACGTAGAGCGGCTCAGCACACCAACGATCTGGTGCTCCAGCCTTCTTTGCCACAGGGCTTCGTTTCACCGATCGAAGGCGTGGGGCTTCTCGATGGCCTCAAGGCAACTTTTCTGAGCACAAGTGACAACTGGACTTAGGTGCAATATATAAAGACCTTTCAGGAGTTCCCAAAATGGTGATCCCAAATTCCTGAGTTCCTTCAAGATCTGCCAGGTTCAATTTAACTTTGTGCCGCTTTTCCCCCAACTCTTCAGCTTTACACCAAGGCACGAGACCGCGAGCGTGAGCGTCGCCGCGACCGCGAGCGCCGCGAGGAGTGCCGCGCCCGCCTTGATCTGGACCGCCGCCGGTCTGAGTGGCGCCGATGCCTGTGGCGACGACTGCTCTCCCGCGGCCGGGAGCGAAGCGACAGCGACGAGCGGTATGGGGAGGTCCGTTTGACCGGTGACGAGAAGCCCGGCCGGAGCTCTCGTGGCTTTGGGGGCAAGGGTGACACCGATTTTGGCTTCTCGGGGGCGGCCTTGGAGGTCGTACATGCAGGCTTTGGTGCAGGTAGAATCAGCCTGCGGGCTAGAGCTTGGAGGCAGCTAGAAAAGCCAAAACTTCCAGTTTAAACCCAGATTTTGGAAGAAGAACTGCATCCATACTTGTCTTGGCATCCATTTTGACAGGACTACATCTGGCCAATCAGAAAACTTGTGATGAAATGTCACCCCTGTTATCCAGGCAAATCACCGGAGGGATCCGATTGTTTCCAGCCTCATCAAAGTGGCTGCAGCTGGGTCGCGCTTCTGCACCTCCTCCACCAAAGTCTGATGCCTTAGGCTGGCTGCTATAGCTTGCCATTCTCAGCTAGATGTTTCCCTCCCCACCGACACCCAAGATCGATGTCCAAATAAAATAAAGAATGTAGTGCGACTTTACGCATGCGGAACAGAAATCCGAATGGAAGGTTGCCACTTGAAATGGATATATTTCGACTTTGGGCTTAGCTTTTCCCAACCCTAACAACCCTACTTTGCAATCGTTTCCATCTGTACAAAAGGGCAAGCAAAAGGGCAAGCAAAAGGGCAAGGTCATCATGATGTTGGGCCGCCCATGGGCTTCCAGGCTTCATCTAAGTGATTTCTGCTGACGGGATCCCTCCCATTTTTCTGGGGCAACTCCGCCGAGGTGGTGCTTACACTTCCCTTTTGATTCTTTGTTATGTAAAATATCTATAGACATGCCATTAGGGGAATAAAAAGGATGTGTGCACATGACGTCGCATATGATTAAATATAAATGTATGTATACATATGTATACATTATAAATACATACACATGCTGTCACATACTTACAATGTGCAATTTTGTTTGTGTATGTATATATATATATACACATGTACGGTTGGTACATCTCCAATGTCGTGTCAAAAATTTGGATGCCCAAAAATCCCATGGTTGATCGTCGTCTTCCCCATTCCTTGATGGCTATGTAGAGGGTATGCCGCTATGCCCCATTCTCAGACAGACCCCAAATGATAAGATTGCTTGTTGTCTATCCCATTGTATCCCAATTATTACCATTGAATCCCTAAAAAAAACCGGTGAAATGCCGATTACCCTCTGGTACTTATGGGCCACGTTCTATAGTTCTTTGAAATTGCTGCAGGTTGAATCCTCATGAAATACCCTCCTGCAAACCAACGTAGATATGGAAACCCCACCATTTGTAGATTCTTTTGCTACGGAAACCATGGGTCTTCCACACCTATGTTAGTTTACCCCATAGGGACATTCCCATGAAATACCCAGCATCCCTTGTCACACGGCTCAAGCCCTGTGACGGATCCGAAGCTTTCTCCAAGGTCTCACGAACATGCCCTTGGATCCCGGGAGAGGGGGTCTGACCAGCTTTGAAGTCACCCAAAAAGACAGAAAGTACAAGTAAAATCCTACTAAAAAGATCCAAAAAGAGTGTCAAATGACTGTTCTATCTTTTTGGGGGGTCCAAGAAGACCTGCATTTTTCAATGGTTTGCCTAGGAAGAGCATCTACAATCATGGGGGTGCCATATCTGTTAGTCTGCCAAACGGCAACCAACAAAAGGTTGGTGAATCTCACACATCATGTAGTACTGGGAATATCAGCAACAAGGGTCCACTCCGGAGAGGTGTGATCAACATTGTGCTGGGAATATCAAGAAGCCGTGCCCTTCAGCAAGAACAATATCTTTATTTTTACAACTGGAATTTCTGAGAATCGTGGCACCCAAAGACATTTGTTTGGACTTTAAGGTCCAACAATTTTGCACAAACACGGAATGGCAGGATGTATCAATATACTCGTTTGTTCAACATCTTTGATTGAAACTGGAGGGTAGAAAACATGAAAACATGAAGCAGGAGCTAACAAACATACTCCTGATCATCATGTACAGTACTCATCATGTACAGTACCTACTGTATCTCTTGTTTAATGGGGATGACCCCTCTATTAACCAATCAACCAATGGGAAAAGGACATCTATGGTCCTTCTCACCCTGGAAACCAAGCATCCATCCGACATGAAGGCCTGAAGCGCAGCGCCCAGCATTTTGAGGCATGTCTCCGCCTGAACGGCACTGAACGGCAGAAACATCCCCAGAGCCACTCTACAAAACCAATAAAAAACACCCACTTCTTTTGGGCTTGAGGGATTTCATGAGAGGAAAGCACAGAAAGGCATACATACAATGGTACAGGAGCCTTTCCTGTAAATTTGTCCGCCAATGGCTGGCCGGCGAAAGATAACTTTCCATAATCAACATCAGTAATAATAACAATCATCACCATCACCACCATCACCATCATCATCATCATCACAAAAATCATAGTCATAATAATGAAAATAATATAATGGCAAACATGAGACCACTACTGACAATCATACTACCCACTCGTAGTTTAACCGTGCTATGGAAGATCACAATGTTTAAGAACGGTTAATCATCGAACCAAATGGGCGATGGTTCCACAGCAACCTGTTAGATAACCAGATGGTAATCATCATCAACCAACTCAACCAACCATGAGTTATCAATACGTGTCAATTATATCCTAGATGTTTAATGGTTGAACGCCTTGATTAATGGTTGCATCCCCTTCAAGTATATGGAGGTTTCCCAAAATGCTGGTACCCCCAAATCATCCAAATTAGACAATTTGAGTATTGAAACCCATGGTGACTTGAAAACCCATGGTGACTTGGGGATCCCCCATTTGAAGAACCCCCCATATGAATTTTGAACGCTGCTCATCAGAGCTTGGTTGTCCCAAAGCTGTGCCTCTGGCAGGAGATTATGGTACTTGCAGAAGCGGGTGAGATTCTGGAGCACACCCGGCTGGAGCCTGAACGAAGAAACAAATTGAGCACCCCGAAATTTTGGGGGCCGCAACCCAGGTGGCTACGAACCATATAATGACCCATGCACATATGGGTAATACATATA